TACTATTTATTTATTTACTTTTATATTTTATTAAAGTTCTGTTTTGACCCCTATAGTTTTTTTTTTTTTTTTTTTTTACATCCATAGGCATTTGAAACAAGGAAAAACATATATAAAATCTAAAACAATAAAAATAAAATATAAAAATTGTATACAATATAAATAAAGTATAAAATTTAAATATTGAAAAATATATATATTTACACGATTTTATAATATATATATTTATATATGTATAAATATGTGACCCTGGACCACAAAACCAGTCTTAAGTGTCAATTTTTCAAAATTGAGATTTATACAGCATCTGAAAGCTGATGGTTTTTAGCATAAAAGAAAAATCAATAATTTTGACCCATACAATGTATTTTTGGCTATTGCTACAAATATACCCCAGCGACTTAAAGACTGGTTTTGTGCTCCAGGATCACATATAATATTGTGTGTATAAACGTTTTAAAAATGTTAATACAATTTTTTTTTTAGAAAATGTTTAAAAACATATTTATGTGTGTATAATGAATTGTATACATTTTTAGTTATTATATTAATATTTTCGTCATATTTTATATATATTAATTAAAACGCATTAATTAATACTAGTAATAATACATAATTAAATGTTATTAAAAAAAAATGTTTAAACATTTTTTATGCTAAATGGACAAATGTAAATGCACACGGTTGCTCAGTTTTAAAGCGGTGGTCATCACAGATCTAACAGCTGTATACAATATAAATAAAGTATAAAATTTAAATATTGAAAAATATATATATTTACACGATTTTATAATATATATATTTATATATGTATAAATATGTGACCCTGGACCACAAAACCAGTCTTAAGTGTCAATTTTTCAAAATTGAGATTTATACAGCATCTGAAAGCTGATGGTTTTTAGCATAAAAGAAAAATCAATAATTTTGACCCATACAATGTATTTTTGGCTATTGCTACAAATATACCCCAGCGACTTAAAGACTGGTTTTGTGCTCCAGGATCACATATAATATTGTGTGTATAAACGTTTTAAAAATGTTAATACAATTTTTTTTTTAGAAAATGTTTAAAAACATATTTATGTGTGTATAATGAATTGTATACATTTTTAGTTATTATATTAATATTTTCGTCATATTTTATATATATTAATTAAAACGCATTAATTAATACTAGTAATAATACATAATTAAATTTTATTTAAAAAAAATGTTTAAACATTTTTTATGCTAAATGGACAAATGTAAATGCACACGGTTGCTCAGTTTTAAAGCGGTGGTCATCACAGATCTAACAGCTGGCGCTGGTTCTGCTGCAGGCACGAACTGGATCGGCCTGCGTAAGCTGCAGGAGCTGGATGTGTCCGACAACGGCCTGCCGGAGCTGCCCTCCTCCGTCCTGCACTGTCTGAAGGCCCTCAGCTCTCTGAACATCAGCAGAAACAAGCTCAGCAGCTTCCCCGACCCCTGGGCCTGTCCTCTGGTGGGTCACCGGCACAGGCACAACTTTCTTCAGTATTATAAAACGGAGAGTTGAAGCCGTGGTTTACAGTGAATTTATAACAGCTTCGCGTCATGCCTAACAACGCCCCTTAGCTGTTATAAATTCACTGTAAACCACGGCTTCTTGGGGCTTATTGCTTTATTTTAGCTACAGGTTTTTAAAAGGAGGGCCATAACGAAGTATATTACTTATAAAACATTATGACAAGTTTGCAATTTTTGGAGGACCAAATTACTTAAAATAAAATAATAAATATGCAACTGAAAAGGTACATTTGTGCTGGGGTAACAATCACAGGAAACTTAGGAAGCATATTGAATGCGTGAATGTTTCATGTGTTGATGACCATGTTGAATTTTGGGTTAAATGAATGGCATATTTACTTTTTGCTAGCAAATGATGATAATCAGAGATGTTTCACTCAGAAAATCTGCAAAGCTTCAAACAACCAGATTGAGTTTCTTCCTGACACCATCTCCATCTTCTGGAAGACTCATCTGAGGGAGGTGGACATCTCCGAGAACGTCCTGAAGGAGCTGCCCTCGTACATATTTGAGCTGGAGGTAAGGAACGGGAGGAAATGTGCTCAAATCACAAGAAATGAAATAAGATAGCTTTTTTTTTTTTAACCAAAGAAAGTAATTACGCATTTGTCTGGATGTGGTACTGTAACGTCCCCCCCCCAAATGGCCAAATATTTTTGTCAATAATCTCAATGTTATTATTCTCATTAATCGCATTAGTTCAAGTTAATTTATTTATAAAGCACATTTAAAAACAGCCACAAGACTGACCAAAGTGCTGTACATTAAAATCAAGCCATAAACACATAAAACAGAAATAATAAAACATATGAATTTAAAACCAAAAGGAATGACAGACAAACATTCTGAAGGCAGAGTAATAATCAAGACCATAATACAATGTAATAAGAATGGGATATTAGTAGGCCATATCAAACCAAGTGTGCATTACTGTAATTAAATAAAAAGAAATAATAAATAAAATGATTTAATAATTTTTTTTTTTTTAAATAAATGTTTTAATAATATTAATATTTATATATAATACTTTAAATAGTCTTTTTATTAAATCAGCATAAAATGCTTTGTATTTTAATTGATGTATCTTATTTTTTGCATTGTCATACTGAGAGTTTACTGGAGAAAATGTGCTGAAATCACAAGAAATTAAATAAGATATGATGTTTTGACCAAAGAAAAATAAGTATGCATGTGTCTGGACATTGTACTTTTTAAAGATTTTTTCTTAATGCCCATCACTCTCAATCTGAATGTCATTATTCTCCTTAATCACATTGCTGTAACAAGGCTATTATTATTAATATTATTATTAATAAATTATTTGTATAATTAAAAAATAAACAATTATTTTCATTAAAATACTTTATTAAAAAACAAAATAACATTTTAACTTCTAACAAAGTTTTTTTAATGTATTTAAATCAGCATAAACAATACTTGATATTTTAATTAATGCATTATTTTTTTGCATTGTGGTAATGAGAATTTATGGGAGGAAATCTTCTGAAGTTGTCTTGAAAATAATGTCACAGTGTAAGAAAAAAATGCAAATATGCATATCAACAAAATTTAATTTCTTTCTTTAGAAATACAGTATTGTGAAATATGCTCATCAGGTGTGTTTTTCGCAGGTTTTGTAAGATCCTCCAACTAAAATTGCTCCTGGTCAGATCCTTTAATTATATTTTTTATGGAGTTGTGCATTTTGTGTTTGAACTAAGAGCCCTCAGGTTTCTTGAGCTCATGGTGGCGCTGTGCTCACAGTAAACGTCTCCTGTAGCACATCTGAGCGATCGTGAGTTTCTCTCTGTATCTCCTCATGATAGACAGCAGTGAATCAGGAAAAGCTTCAGCTTTAATAAGACTAGTTTTTTACACAAATAAGCCTGAAAGGCTCCGAGCGTGTTGTGAAGTGTTTACAAACGTACGGCAGAGCAGCTCAGACGGGATTTTATAGTTGCTGAGTTTTCATTAACTTCACTGTCAGTTTCGCAAGTTAACTGGCAAGATGTCAACACAAAACCAACGGCAGAGCGAGAAATAGAGATTGCAAACTAGAGAGCTTAAGAAAGCGTGTAAGGAAGAAGCAAACGGCAGTTTCATCATTTAAGATTCAATGTAATGCTCGAACAGTTTGACATGAAAATCTCTGCTCTTTTAAACACCGGATATTTACGCTGTCTGTGAGCAAAGGCGATGATCTCGCACACAAACAGAGAGATGTGGTGTATTTAGACATGTACGTATAATATGTATAATACTTTTGTGTGTAAATCATCACATAGTTTGTGTTACAGACATGAATGATTCATTAATCATGCCGCTTGGGGAGAAGCTGTGCTGTTATTCTTTTTATTTTATTTTATTGTTTTTTTAATTTTTGTTTTATATTATTTTATTTGGTGTTTTTAGTTATTTATTTATTATTATTATTTTGTTTTTTTGTATTTTATCTTTTGTTTTATTTATTTTCTTTTTGTTTAATTTTTTTATTTTATTGTTATTTTTTATTTAATTTTAATTTTACATTTTATTTGTAGTCAGTTGAGAGTATAAAGCAGGGGTGTTAATATTTTTAATATAATATTTTTATTAATAATAATAATATTTTTAGCAATCATGTCATGCGTGTTTTCTGTCTGCTGTTTAGAATCAGAACTGAGGCCAGATTTACAAATAAATCAGACTTTTGATCTAATCTGACAAACGGGTTTGCAAAAAGCTCTGAATTAGTTTGCAGACAGTTCACTCCCACACTCCTCATGATTTCTTTTCACATACTCTTCAAATAAAATTTATATATATAAAGCATTAACTTTAAATCCATTGTAGAAACCTAAACCTGCATGTGTCTTATCATTTGTCAGCAGTGAAGCACTAAAACTCTTCACATAAAAGATAAACGCCTCATCTGTGCTAATGACAATAATAATGTGCTAATAACAATAAGTCCACACTTGCCAAATGACTTTAAGTAGCAGTGTGTACGTCATGTTTTATGGCTCCAGGTGTGTGTGTCACAGAGATCACTGTGTGTGTTTTAGGCCATCGTCTCTCTGAAGTTGTGTGGGAACCAAATCTCCACTCTGCCCGCTCCAAACAAATGGAAATGCTCTTGTCTGCGAACTCTAGACCTGTCCAGAAACCAACTGGGGAAGTAGGTCAAATGCTCACACACCTACACACACACATAAATGTATACACACACACACACACACACACACACATAAATGTGTATATATACACACACACACACACACACAATACAATAATAAGTATGTGTATCTCTCTCTCTCTCTCTCTCTCTCTCTCTATATATATA